ATCGAAGTTTCTCGAATTCCTCGAATGCTGCGAATTAACTCAGTATATCAAACTGCTCACCCTCGGCGACTCAATTTTTGACATAGTTCTAGCAATTCTTCTGAACAAGAATTTATTCTTGTGTCTACCTATCGCGGCGTCTGACCATCCCGTGGTAGTTTTCAAAATCCAAATTTCGGATCCAAACTTCCAGACCGCTTCCCATTTCGATTCCGCGAAAGCCGACTATGACTCGCTTCCGAATTATTTCTTCTGAACTGATCCATGGGAGGTGTCTGGCGGTTCTCCTTGGGCTATCTTTGTAAGCTTATCCTTTACGCTGGATGTACAATGTATGTGCCATTTTCAAATGCAGGAGCGTCCAAAACCCTGAATTCAAAACATGTAAGCAATTCAGTGGCTCAGAAGCCTCGTCTTTCATGGCATTACAGTACTGTTCTTCGGGTAGTATTCAGTATAAGAGAGTCTGTAATGAACTGGATCGCCACTTACGGAGGTTCTTGTCTTACGAGAGAAATAGTATCATCACCGATGGTCTCAACATACTACTTTTTGCCCTATCAACCGCGACATGAAGCCAAAAAGTGCATACCTATACTCCATGATGAATTTGACGGACGTTGTATTACTGACGATCGAAAAGCAGAAGCGCTCGCAAATTATTCCACGTCTGTTTTTACGATTCGCGCAGAAACTGATCTTGAAGTTGACGGAGCTTGGCGCTCAGCCGGGCTCCTTTTCTGCTATCACTATAACCCTTAAAGGATTTCATAGAAATCTGAAGCCTCTTAAAGCTCCTATGTCGATATCGTTCAATGGGATTCCACTTCTACTGGCAAATGTGCCGCGTCTCTGTTCAAGTCAATATGCATGATAGTGAATGCGTCTCTAATATTTGGAGAAGTCCCTTCCACTCGGAAGGAGTCCACCATAAGGGCTATTCCTGAAATTCAAGAAACGAGTTTGTTCTCATCGTTCCGTCCCATGAGTATCACGTTTTCAACATGGCGTAGACATGATATATCTTATTTTGTCAAATGCCTTCGACAAAGTTATTCATGAAAAACTTGTTTCTAAATTACGGCATCAGGGAGTCGGTGGAATCGTTCTTAAATGGATTACTTGTTATCTGAATGGAAGACACATGTGTGTCATAGTTGGAAAACGTTTATGAAAAGATATTTGTGTACTACTGATGTCCCGCATCGGGGATTTGTCACCCCTCTTATTTCTGGCCTATACGCATGAATTACCAGCTTGTTCAAAAATACATCCAGCGGTGAAGGTTTACTCTGCGGCTTGGAGCATAACTGTCAATCTCCAGAAAACTTCGGTAGTTCACTTTGGGAAAGCTAAAAGAATCCCGTATATTTTCAATGACATAATCCTTCAAACTTCTAAAGAAGTCAGGGATCTTAGTTCCTGTGTGAACTTCAAACTAGATTTTGAACACCATATGAGTAATTTCGTTCGAAAGGTTTTTCGCACTCTTTTGCAGTTTTCCGGAGTATTTGACATAGCGACGTTACAACATTCTTGAAGCTTTATAAAGCGTATGTCATCCCGGTATTCTACTATGAGTCGCAGATTTGGAGTCTACATGCTAGGAAACTTAAAATCGAGATGGGGAAGGTTCAGCAAGCCTTCACGAGGGCCGTCATACACAGATGGGGTCTTGGTCCAGCCTCTCCCAGATGTATGCCGGAATACAAAGAAAGATCAATGGTGGATTAAAGCTCAAGCCGAGCAATTCATTGGGTCTTCAGACCTTGCCGAGGGCGCACCTTTTCGCTCTCTCTGCAATGCCCGAAACTCACAAAAAAGCAGCACGTCAAGGTTTTCAACTCCTCTTCTTCCGTGGAGCTAGATCGCTTCAGGCATCACCAGTTTAGATGCAACAAGCCCCAAGCCTAGGCATATTCAAAAGTTGATTAACAAGAATTGATCTGCTACAAATCCTTGGAATCCGAGATTCAAGTGTACTTTGCATTTGAGAACTTGGTCTGTAGCATACTCTTCCGTTATAGAGAACCTCGAGCTCCATTTTTCCGAAAAAGAAATGTCCAGCCGCTCATCTGAATAATTTTTTCTTCTTTCTTGTGCTTTTAGTTTGTCTAACACTCCCTTGTCAAGCTTCTAACTGAAGGACTGTTTTTGTTTTCTCTTACTTTTTGTTGTTTCTCAGAAGTTGGTGGGAAGCCAAAGCACTGCCATGATTTGTCAGTAGAATTCAAATACCATACCAAATGTTTGCCTTGAAAGATCCCCCAGCACTAGACTTTCCTCTAGGGGTCAGAAACAGGATTGTTAGGGGTAGGGAATCACCTAACATCCGAAAATTCAGTTTCTGATTCCACGTGTTCCACTTACTTGTCTAGGAGTGGCGTTACTCCATAGCGCCATCCGCAATTGGATACACTACCTTTAGCGCAACAGTTCAAGGATGAGTTAGAACAAGGCTTTGTATGAGTGGTCTAGTAGACATTTTCTATCTTTTGTCGTTGATTGGAAAACTTTTCACCTGCTTGTTTTATCACTACTGATTTGGAACAAATCATCTGTGATTCATGTGTTGGCAGTAGCGCATGCTTGCATGCATTTAATAAATAAATAAATTAGTCATAAGTAAACAATGTTACTGGAACATTAGCAGCGCCTATATATTCGCGGAAGGCTACCAAACAAAAAACAATACAAATGGAGTGTTCGTTTTCTGCGTTGAGACGTAAAATCTCCTGAAGTCGATTTCTTGCTGAAGGCACATTATCGGTGCTGTTGGTGGGTTTTTCGAACTGTTGCAAGGCTTTCAAGAACGACTGCTAAACTCATCGTGTTTTATTCATTCTTATAGCAATTTCCTTTGGCACACTGAATTTGGAGAATTCCGAAGATTTGAATTGGGAGAAGTGTGTTGCCAACTCCGATATGAAAAATTCTGCGATATTTTGTTGGTATCATCTTCGAAAATCTTCAAATGTATACAACGGCGAAATCTTGCTCTGATGCCCTGTATTGCTGAAGGCATCTTAGCCTGAGAGTAAAGTGAACCTGAAAGGGTACGAGATATTCCTCAGTGTCCAGTTTTATAGGTAGAGCAACAGAGGTGAGGTTTCCTTAACCCTTCGCGTACAGTGGCGTTTTTTTGGCTGGCTGGCGTGTGTGGCCGCGCCTATTTGAAACCTCACCGCGATCTGCGCGATTGATATAAAACTTTGATTTGTATCATAAAATTAAGCACTGTGCATATTCCTTAGGCCGATCGAGCAATTCGCTAGCGAATCGCTGGATCCGAGCGTTGCGCCAGCGAATCGAACGTTGCACCAGCGAATCGAACTTTGCACCAGCGAGTCGAACGATGTACCAGCGAGTCGAACTATGTACCAGCGACTCAATAGTGGGGACCCAACGTTCAAAGGAAGCCCGCCACTTTCAAACAGTGTCACGTGACAGTGGACCCTTTTTGAAAGTGGCGGGACTTGACAGTGGACACTGTTTGAAAGTGGCGGGCTTCCTTTGAACGTTGGGTCCCGCCACTATTGAGTCGCTGGTACCTGAGTTCCACTCGCTCAATTGGCATGGTATAGGGAGTATCATATCAAGAAAAATTGTGGTCTTTGCACAACTGCACTTCACTGTTTCGATAGCAATATAAGCATACTCCACCTCTTATTTGGGAACAACTGACGCTTACCTAGCAGATTGCTGAGACCAGCGCAATTATTTATTGCACTTGGTACAGAACTACGTGTAATGCCGACAGATATACACAATAAAAGCGAAAATCGGAAGCGGAAGAATGTCTGAAGCAAACTCTAACAGGAGTGTTAGAAATACATATGCTATTGTGCCGGTAATGCAGGCCTCCAATTTGATAGTGGCAACTGTCAAAATGGTACACAAAAACACCAAGAGCTCATGATGTTCAAAATTCGAGCTTCATGCTCTTGTTACCGTAATTTTTGACCTTCCTGTATTTTGCACAAACACAGCATGTTAAATGTATGGCAATGCAAATAGAATAAGAATTTATTTATAAATTATAAAAAACACATAGTACGCATATCTACGAAAAACATGTAGTGGCACAAAAATTGTTCTACGAGTCTGTTTCATTGTTCAAGGCAGTAATGCACAATATTAAGCCGACCTTACGTCGGCAAGGCCATGACTGGGTGTAATTCAAAAGGCAAGACTGAAGAGAAACACACTCACACAAGTCACAGACCCATGTTGAAAGCATAAACATGACAGCACAATAAGATATGTCAAAGTTACATGAACTTGGTAAAGCAGTGGAAATTTCTGTAAGAGACTCGGTAAGGCTAAAAATTAAGTGCGTCCTATGAAAAGGCAGTTATTGCACGTTACAATAAAGAAAGAAGCTCAGATCTTGTTTAAAGCGTATAAATAGAAGCAACAAGTGTTTGTCTTGGATTGTCTCACAAAGCTGCTTTTGGGTGGCAGCCGTTGGTATTTGGTAAGGTGGTACGCAGCATGACACTCACATCTGGGACAGATTTTGGAACCCATGGGAACTTTCCTCACAAAAATAATGCTGGAGCTCAAATTTGTGGCACACACTATCAACTTGCGTTATCGTACTACTGCTCTGAAGATGTACAGAATCCCTTCAGCGCCGATTCGTACACAGCTGAGCCCATCAAAGTGGCAAATTAGTTAAGCGGGTCTCACTGCAACCGAATTACTCACTAGATACAAAACCTAAAGTGAAGCTGCCCAAACCTAGACGCCCAGGAATGTCTTAGATGACCGCACATGGTTATGCTAAATAGATGTCGATTGCCACAGCAGAAAGAAGTTTTCGAGTGACTTGTTCGACTGTTGGACATGTATCCCTAAGACGGCCACAAAAAAGCATGATAGATTTTTCTTCACACGATTGTTGGTTCGCTTGGGGTCTTCCCATAGGAAAAAAACAACCTCGACTATTTAAAAATATCAGATTACCAGTAGCATTATAAAGATCCCTAACAACATTTCTATGGCATGATGTGGAATTTGTCGCGTTGCTTCTGCGCATAACACAAAGAGGCACCAATGATAGAACAACAGAGTACTATTAGTCCAGCGAGAAGCCAAAAGCCAACCAACGGCACACAAACGGCTGACGCAGGCGCTCCTGATGTCTGGGAATGAAGGGCTTCTGGTAGCTCAGCAGCTAAAATATTGATTTAAAATGAAAAACCAAAATACTTGAATTTGGTGAACGCATCAAGAATAATGACTTGTAATTCTTGAAATCTAGTAAGGTTAGGACTGACGCGCTGTTCGCATCGGAGGATATGCTCCCATGGATACGCTATTGGCGCACGCTCGGCACGGTTCCCCTACACACTCCCCGCTCCCTCTCGCTCTATGAGCTTCTAGATTCTTAGCAGGGAAAGCGTTAGCGTTGAAGCACCGATGAGAGTCGCACAAATGCCGAAATCAACAGACAAGGAAGGTGGTCCTATTTCTCGGTTTCTAGGCATGGTTTTTTTCCTCATCGCTTCTTTTGTTCAACACTGCACCACTGACCACCTTTACCCTTATTCCAGCGGACCGAAGCGCGTTTTGTGAAGGTGCACCATTAGTAGCCTAATGGGGCCATATCCGCTTCGTTGAGTTTCCCTCGCGGCTCTACACGTCCACCAATCGGCTATCCCACTGGTATCCCCTCGCCGTCGGACTCGTGCCGTTTTAGCAGAGATGCAGTATTAGCTTCACGTTGATGACATCAGCATTATGGTACTCGCCCAATGCAGCAGTGAATGGGGAGAACAAGGACTTCCCCTTCCCCATCTCTCGTGGTTTTTCTTCACTGCTGCACCTTTTCGCAGCTCTATGTTCATGCCCGACGAGCAAGCAAATTCTCGTAGCATTTCTTATTGGTATCAACCAATCTTATCACTGCTTCAAACCACTGACATTTGTCTTCTCATGTTGATTGTCAAGTTAACTGAGAGGCAGAGTAAAGTAGTGTTAAGATGGAGAGTGCAAATTCGCAGAATATTTCATCTACGCTATTGAAAGGATCTGGAAGAACAGGTAGCTATAACGATCAGCGTTTTCATTGTGCCTCGCACGGCCCGGATGGTGTTAATACATTATAGTTTGGTTTTGACGTTTTTTTTGCGTCAACGAAAAAATCAAACAATGGATATCGGCGACAATACAGATTTCAAACTCTATAGAACGACTGTGTTATTGCAGCTTTGCACTTGGTCAAAGCTCCACAACGATGTTGTAGAGAGCTCTTCAAATACGGCCACTGGCAACTTTCTAGCTGAATTCATACGTCAAATAAAGCAAATACGACCACTGGGTATTAGCGTGAGCTGAGCACCGCACCAGACTGAGAAGGCCGGATGGAACAATTGGAGAAACCATTTCAGTAAATTTGCAACGCAGAGCGTTAGCTTGGATTCTGCGCTTGTCGCTGCCATAGAGCGAACTGCAGGGCCTGCCGTAGTACTACTCTGGAGGATTTAGTGGAAAGGTGCTTACTAGAAACTCATTAGAAGCTCACCAATGTCCTTGTCGATAATGGTGAGTTCCGGTGAGGAGATGTCGACGTCGATCGCTTCCGCTTCTCGTCGCCGCATCTCCCTTTTCAGCTGTACGACATCGCTCTCGACAACGTCGCCATCGTGTTCGGGAATGTGGTTCGCACGAATTAACGATACGGGCGTTGGTTGGTAGAGCTTCAGTATTTCGACCCCTAAAGCGTGAATTTTTAGCCCTACTATGTACACGTAACAAATACACTGAAGAAACACCTACCTGAGCTTCGATATCCGTTTTATCTCACTGTCGATCCACTTGCATATTTCCGTCCAAAGAATAAATAGCGGACCAGGTGCTTGGCGGCGTAAATCATGGAGACCGATGTACCCGGATGCTGGGGAAGATTCCGTGTAGTTTTGTCAAAGATTGTAGCGCTTTGTCGCGGTGGCTGAAACGTCAAAAAATATCAAAATCAAAAAATTATTAGTCAGCTCAAGCAAAACCTTATGGTATTAGAATGATTTCATAGTTTGCTCGGATAACTTCGTTTAATGTATGCTATACGAAGTTATTACCAGATTAGTCCCCCGTCAACCGCCGGGACCTTCCTTTCCTGCGCAAGCTTTCTATCCTCCGCTATGGTCCCTTCCTCCTGTGACACCAACACCTGGAAGTGACGCGTATGCAACACAATGGTGTTTCATACAGTAGAAGGGACACAATCATGATATGACGGTAGATTTTTCGCTTCCCTTCCTCATCCTCCCTTCCTCTCTCCACTGCCCTCCAGCTGCCACTGCAGCACCATGTGGAATGAACGGAAGTGTGCTAAGCAGGTGTTTATATAGCCCTAAGAGTGTTATCACAACTATCCTGCTACAAAACATTGATATCTCAAATCCTGTAAGCTACCCGATTTGTTAGCGGTTTGTTTATCCCATGAGCTTCCTTCTCACTCACTTCATTTTGCGGACGGACACACATACATACACACACACATACAGACACACAAACCGACACACAAAGTTAGCGCTTTATAAAATAGAAGGATTCTTTGTGAAATTCGTCCTCAGATCGGTGATATTCTTTCCGATACTTCCAGTACTTCTCTTCTTATGACGACTAGCCCAATAACGGTTCTCCACAATGATGGGATGGCACTACCAAACAAGTCATGTAAATATTTTATGGCAGTCGTGATAGAACAGGATGCGACCAACTCTAATAAGAACAAACACTTGTTGGCGGTTAAGAACTCAGCAGTGTAATTCTTGCTTGAACATGGTTTTCTGTCAATCTCCATGACAGAGGTAATCCAATACGTGGCAAGAGCGCCAAGAAGAAACGAGGAATGGGTACTAGGTGAACCAGACATCGTTCACTAGCGATTTAGTTCTTGCCTGGTACCGTGCATTATTGTGGAAACCTCCCCATGCTAAGGAGTCCGGAAAAAAGACGCCTCCAACATAAAACGGTGAGTTCCAGGCCAAAAGCTGCCCCTTACGGGTTTTCTCGGTGCAATGCATCACATACAGTCCGATGCTATCGAAAAGAAAGCTGGCCACCTTTTCTCGAACGTTACATTAGAGTGAAGGTTATCGGTTTAAGAGAATATACGTGGGGCGAAAGGCAACCGCCTCCTGAACCATGCAGACGGTAAAGCGCCGGCTTCGTCTAGGCAATAAAGATATGCTCCCAGAAGGCTTGAGCATGGACTACCTGCGCCGCTCGCGCCGCATCCCGCCCACCTCTTCGCCGCCTGACCCCAGCAATCTAGCAGATGGAGCAATAATGCTGATATGGTCAGCACCGATGAGACAAAGGTAATGCGCAAATTAACGGGAAAAAATGGGCCCACTTTTTGGTTCCAGGCCGGTTTTTTTGATTTATTCTTCATTTCAGTATCATTGTCCACCTCTACCTTGATTAGTGGCCATTTCATCGTGAATCCCGCCTTCAATATGTTTGCGGGCTCTAAATGGCAGCGCACTTTCATGATTTTCTTTGACTCTTGTGGTACCATGTTTTTGAAGACGAAAATTGCGATAAAACGCTTGATTATGAAAGAGAAAGATGTTTAGCGGGTTTTCATGTAGGCAGTGGCAGAAGCTTTGTGGCAGAAGCAGTTGCCAATGGAATGGTAAGGAGCTGAGGGCGCCTCAAGAGCCCCTTCGCTCCTCAGACGCACTGACTGGTGACTCTTGGAAGGATGATGGAGACAACATCATTGAAATAAACACATTACGCAATCGTTCCAATTGCACTGCTGTACCGGTCACCCAAGCAGCAACTGCCTATGGATCGCCGTGTTCATGACAGCGTTTAGGATCATCTAAACGACCTCTAAGTTAGCAATAAACTCGTCCATACACGGAATTAAGAGTCGGGGAGCAGACCTCATTCCATGGGTTTTCTCGCCGCCTCCCTTGTTTCTTTCTCAGACACACCATACTTGGACACAACTTACTTCCCAACATTTCAACGGATATCGCCTTTGTTCGTGGGACCTGCTTCGCAGTACTAATCAGAGGAAACTTAGTTATTCGAGGAGGCATACATCCTATTCAAAAGTGAGTTCCTCTTACCTGCGGTAGACGTCAGCTCGGTAACGGTTGTGTATACGGTTGTTGATTGCGCTGTGGTGGCCACAGGTCCATAAGTAGTCGACGGGGACGGCGTCGTTGTAGACCAAGTCGCTGTAGTTGTTGCCGACGCTTGTGTGGGAGTAATGAGCTGGTCGCTGTCGAGGTCGTTGGCAAGGCTATCGTCGTGTGAACTTAGCGGTCCGCAACGTGGAGGCTTAAGACACAAGGACGGTAATCCCTTCAATAAGTTATCAAAAACACCTAATTTTGAACAACGATACCGTTATATCTGTGCATCCCTCGTCCAATTTGTAGCAGATTCGAACTTGGCAATTAAAGTAGACCGATTGTTGATCAGGAAAATTGAAGGCACTCGCAGCCTTCTTCAACGAACAATTACTGCAGGTATTTGACATTTACGTTTTCCGGCATTTGAAGGCATGCCCCAGGATCACATTCGTGTGACTCTTGCACGCAAAGTGCGAATGGATTGGTGCGAAATGGGACGGCAGTAAAGAAAAAAAGGAAATGAATCCGTCGAAAACGCTTAGGTTAAAGGCAAACCTCCGGGATTAGCCTGACCAGTCGTAGGGATCCACGGGGGAATCGTAAGGTCTGTAAGTAACTGGATCACTCCAGCTTCGTCGCGAAAACTGCGCGGTTAGGGCGCTAGTCTTGCGAACTCGCAACCATCGCTCCCTTCCAGTGCAGCCCTACCCCGCCGGAAGAGGGTGGTCAGATGCAAAAAGCGTGGCATCGATGTGAGGACCAGCGTGCTCTCTCAAAACCCAACGTGCTCTCTCGCCTATTTTGCTCTTCTTTCACCACCCTTCGCTCGGCTAGTCGTACCACATTCTACCCTACTGAAGGTTAAGGCCTTAATTGCAGCGTTCCCAAGGATTTCTCTTGCTTTCCTTTCCACTTTCAGGTCGTTCCGCAGCTAAGCTATCACCACAAAGCGCTGATAGCACCTGTTTAATCCCGGAGTTTGCCTTTAAGGGCTCACCCACCTTTCTAATCGGTTGTGCTAAAAGAATGTGAGACTAAGCATTGGAGAGGAGAGCACGAGGCGCGAGAGTGCAACAGAAGAAAGACCAGACAACGTCCCAATAAGAGAAAAAATCTGAAGCTTCAGCAACTTACTTACAAGGCCCCAAGCGCTCTTGTCGGTTGGTTTCCGTGCACGGGAACACACATTTGTGATTGTCCTCTAGGGTCTATACTACAGACCGAAGGGAAGCGTTCACACGACCTCTGCCTGGGTTGTGGAATTCAGGCATTATTTTTGTATGATGATATGCATCAGCTTATTTGCAGCTGTTTCGACAATAAGAGTAGATAGGGCCAGAATCCACATTTCGAGATGCGCCATGCTTGCTGCTTTTACACAGAATCCCAATGACCTTTGAATGGGATACTCATACAAAATAGATAACCCTGCAAGGCAAGGAGTATCCTAAAGGTTCCAGGCCAATGCGGCCCAATAATTCGTCTCAGGGCTTCGAAGGACTGCTTTTGCTTTGTGCAGATTTCAATCTCTTATTACAACCAGGTAGCAATCGCTCGTTGGCGACTGGCCCTGCTTGTGAAATAAAAACTTCAAGAATCTTTTGTATGAGTACAAAAATAACAGAAACCGTTTGTACTTCACTGTGAGGACTCGTGAGGTCAGACGAGTAAGTGAGCTCAGGCATGAGGAACGTGTCCGTTGAGCATCTAAATGTTCAATTACAGTAAAGTGTTTGTTTATTAGAATGAAGTGAATCTATCGTCAGTATTCAGTTTCTAGCAAATGGTACCAAACAGGAGGCTTCTAAAGGTATGGTAAGCTGTGACCCTCGAAGGCGGTTAGATTCAGATTGATTAAGCCGCTCTTCTCGGAAACCTGGCCGCGTAGAAATGCTGCCGTGGGTCGAAGGTAGTTTTTTGAGTGTTTGCAGTTGGAACAAACTATGTCATAGAACAACTTATGAGTTCTTCTCTGGCTGGTTCATTTGTTGGATTAACTGACAGATGTTAACTAAATGTCAACCTTTTGTACGTTAGGCGATGCTGCCGCCATCCAATTTGCATGAAAGACAAGGCCTTCAGATCATGGGTCGCATATGAAGAGGAATGGGCCCAGCCAGAATACGGAAACCTCCAACGCTTGCACCCGGACGGGTCTCGCTAATGATTCCCTCTCCACGTTTTGACGGTACGAGTCGGGATTGAAAATAATGATGCGTTATTTTGTTCGAACATTAGGCAAGGGGTGCAATGAGGAACATTAGTGAGGAGAAAAAGCAAAAAGCACCATAGAAAACACTAAATTTCCCTTAGGAGGCCGGCCGTAGTACGACGGAGAGACACAGCGCTGCGAGGAGAGGGAGAACGCGAGATAGTACGTCCACGTATGCCGTGGTGGATTACGCTGGCAGCGCGGGCAGCGCGGCGGGCAAGGCCTTAGCGCCATTGCCGCGCACTTTTGGGTCGCGATAGTGTCGCGCCCTCAGTGCTTGGGGAGCCCACTATCGCCCCTGGGAAGAACTTCTGCTGGTTGCCTAATCCTGACTCGTGGCTTTTAACACATGAGCAATAGGCAAGTCCGTTACAAAAATTCCTCTACAATCAGACGAGAGTTTTCCAATGAAGCAGCATTTTTTGCATTCTACATATTTCTGAGGCCATTTATTTCACCACTTTAACGCCGTTTCGTCATCTACTGCCTCAGAAAATTTCGAAAATGACCACCCTCCTCATCAAATCGAACGCGACCCCTGTGATAAATTCTCGACGGTTGATTCACTTCTGTTAAAAGTTAGCTTTGTAATTCATCTCTAAGGTGTTAGGCAACAATAGGGAGTGCGTAGTATGTAGAGAAAGAATGATGGTAGCGGTTATCGGCGCCGCGTACTGATTGTTTGAGAAAAGTGTGCACCAACTGGTGGTTTTTCTTCAAGAAGGTAGCGGACGCGTTTCTAAGCGTCGCATTTTCTATATAGCCTCGGATTTACCAATTCAAACCGGAACAGCAGGAAGTATCATTCGGTAGCAACAAGCAAAAAGGTTAATCATTCTATTCTAGAAAAGGCTGAAAGTGGTGGTTAAAAGTGCTATTGCGAGGATATAAGGAGGGTTAAACACCTGATGATGAAGGTTGCAGGTGATTGAGGACTAGAAAAAAAACATTCACATTCACTCCTCTTCTCCCCAGCCCAACACGTTAGATACCAAATTTAACATAAATCCCAAGAAACAGCTTTGGATAGTCACTTCCGCTGCTTTTATGGTTTTCAGTAAGGTACGAAAACTTCTGCCACTCACCACCCCCGTCCCCCATTGTTCACAATCAATAAGAAAACTGAGCAGGACGCCGATTTTCCAACAGAAGTGCAAATGGGCCGAACACCAAAAAGGCTCCGACCTGGATTAAACGCCTCATTGAGCCACTTAAAGTGTCACTGTATTGCTTTGTAATTTCATCGAATTCAAATCAACTTCGTACGAAGACTTGGTCAATTAGATTTATCGGCATGGAAGGCACTAAACGCAAAAGGTTATTGTTGCGTTTTTACACTGATAGACGGTGTTTGTCAAATTGGGCTCTCTCCCGTATTCGGCAGAACTTTTATTCACATGCCTGAACCTGTCTAGTACTAGGTTTGGGAACTATCAATGAATAATAAAAGAGCCGCCCAAGGCCCTGTCGTAAAAGTTCCAGGGGATAGGAAAAAGAGGGAGATTTGAACGTGTGGTGGATATCGTCGTCTTCAGATTTCAAATTGTGTAGGCTCTCTTGGGGAAGGTCCCGTCCTTTCTTTGACTTGAGCATAAACCTCTATGACCCCTAAGCCACAGCTTGAGCATGTTGTTAAATGCTGCCTAGTGACAGGTTCTTTTGTCCAGGAAAAGTCCCATGTTTCACGAAGTCTATTGGCCCTCACTCCTTTTTCATTTCTACAGTTTCCGCCAGTTGAAATGATCTCAGCGAAATCAACACACGCTATCGTTCCTCAGTTACTCATTTCATAGGTCAGCTGTTAAAGAGACTCGATCGCTTCAATTTTGAGAGAATGTTCATTTTTCAGCAAATTCTTCTCGTAAGTGTAAGCTCAAAATAAGCAAAAAAGCCTGGCAGGCTGCTAGTTTAACGTAGCAACTACCCACCAAACCACTTATGTTGAGCAGCGAGCGGCTTTTTTCGTATTAGTGTGAGCTAAATGCGGAAAATTTTTCGTCACTTAATGAGGGCACGAAGCCATGTTCAGTTCTTTTTATGGGAAAAAATAGTTGGAGCAGTTCGAGAAGTTCCTAGGGAATCTTACGGAAGTCACGGATCAGATCGAATGCCTCAATTCCATGCCTATGAATGGAAACTTGAAATACAATTGTTTTTCTACAGGATTTTGCATGCAGCCGCCTTGTTTTACTCTGAATTCGCTTGCGAAGAAGCAGCGGTGATTTTTCAGCGTTAAAAGCAAGCTTGACCAGACTTACTCATTGTCTTTTTTACCTTATCATGGCTACGAGCTCTTTGTACTGGAAGTAAACCACCGCGCAGATCACGACCTCGTCAGTTGTTGGCTGTATTAGATGTGTATACGAGACGTCACCCACCAGGATCAACCGTGCTTCTAGCTGCTTAAAGAAGGGAGGGTGTATTTGTGTTTTTTGGAGAGAGTAGTAATTGGGGTTGACAAAGATCGGGAAGTCGAAAGGAGGTCGTGTTGTGATAATTGAAGGGGTCATAGCCGGGGGAGAAGGAGCTCGCTTTCGACAGGCTTGGTGATTTCTAACAAAAAGTTCTAAAAGCATGAATGGACAAACTTTTGTCAGACATTTCCTTTTTCTCTATTCTCACGCAGGACACTTAAAGGAAGCGATTACGATAAGGAATTTTCGCATCGGGGGAGAACCTGCGCCACACGGAGCAATTACTTGGCTGCCAAGGAAGCGATGTGTGGTCCTCCCACGGCGAAAGGTGCTGTGGTTGCTGAGCAGGACCCGCGTGACGCCCCGCCCCCAGTGACGTGACGCCCACTAGTTTTGTTGATGATCTGGATGGACTGTTTGCTGTTGGCTTTTCATTTTGGATGATCATTTTCCCTTCTAGCGGCTGTATCTTCCAACTTGCCCACGTATTGCCTTATCAATCAGAACACTATGCTTGTTGGCATGATGGCGGCTATCGGGGTTAACACGTCCGAACAACGTCGTTCTTTACCGTCGCTCATCCATGGTCGAAAATGAAAGGGCAATCAAAGGGGGGTTATTTTGCTTATTTTTGACGGATTTCTTTGCTTTTTTCGCCATTGGCGTACTATTGAGACCCCACGTCCCCTCTAAACCCCTGTGAGATCTATCGTAATCGCTTCCTTTAAGCATTCTCTTCCCTTATCACTGAAATAGATATAGTGATGATGGTGCTGAGGTAGGGCTTACGTGAGCGGCTCCCTAAAGGTGTTGTGGTAGGGTTCGCATCGATATGTCTTTAAGGGGAAGGGGAGGTCGTGAGGATTCAAATCTACCGAACGCCACGGTTGATCCTGCCCCTGACTGAAAAGGTTCGAACTCGACAATGAATTAGTGAGAGAAGCCCATATAGAACAACTATAGCCCATATTTTCGTTTTTATTTATTTATTTTGAACCCCCTCCTATTTGAACACAACACTGTTGCAGACAGCCTATTTTTTGCCGACTCTTTCTATGTGCCCTGATGAAAGCTCAAACTGGATGGTGTAACGGAGTGTTGGTCTAACGGAAAGCGTTCGTGGTGAGTCCCTGAAACCTGAGTTGTGGTACATCCGCAGCTCTATAAAAAAGTCTACTGACACGTTAGCCGTCGTTTTTTTTGGAGAGAAAGGCGCGCTCATCCTTGTTCAAAGTGTTACATAACATTTTCGCTAAGCAACGTACAGCATACATAATCGACCACAAAACGAAGAACGAGCTTACCCTTGTGAATCAATGACGGTATGGTTGTTGCCTTGTCCGTCAACAATGGAACAGTCGTGTATCATCATTCCGTACACTTCAGATGGACAATCCCACACATGGTAAATGATGTCGCCCACTTGAGCAAGTTTTATCAGAGGTCCATTGGCAGAATCCTGCAAATATTAAATTACCATAGAACGAATTGATTTTCACATATTCACCTTATACATATGACGATTGTACGAAAAGACGACTAGTACTGCTCCTTGTTCGAATTTGATCTTTAAGATCCTATGGATAGGTACACAAGAGAGCTAATGCCATCGCTTGAGCGAGTTTTCATCAACTCGCAGCACTTGGTCTCTCCGCGCACCATCGTGAACCTCACAAGGGGAACTTTTGTGTTTTCTACAGTAATTCTTGCTTTTCCTCACTAACGTTCTCCTTCGCCTTTTTGTCTAAGTATCGAAACAAAATAACACCATTTCGATTGCGACCCGAGCTTTTATGATATCACAAGAATGCCACTGAAGAGAAACCCTAAAACTCTTCGCCCCAGGCGAGAATCAAACACGTGCCTCTACATCCTGCAATCACAACCAGAAAATTATTAAAATCATGAAAAATGGAGGCATTTATTTTGAATTCCCTAACCTCATTCTCAAGCATTCATAAGTTATGAAAGGTTGTATTATGTATGCTATATTGAAAGGCGGAGAGATTAAATTGAGAAAGAGTGCCAAAAACCATCCGTCGTGCACCCCTTGACCCAATTGTATTCATGGTCTTTGCATTTTGATATGATGATTTTATTTTATTAATTTTCTCACGTGACTTTTTGTTCACGTCTTCAATAAATAAATAAATAAATAAATAAAATGTCAACGGGAACAATGGCATTCTCCAGCTATGCACGAAATTGTGCCAGAAATTCAAGCCAAAGGTGCGAACCAACTTGCCGGTGAGTTATCAATAAACACTATATTACGCACTGACATTCATAGTTGTTCAGTAAACTGTACCTTGTGTAGAGTGTAGCGACATGTCGGCTTTTCGCTTTCGCCTGATACCACGGAAGTTGTCAGCTCACTGAAAATAAGAGCCATTCCTTCTGAGAAGTTTCGGTGAAACAGCACTCTGTAGAAATAGTTTTACAACGAGCGATCTTGTGATGGCTTTTGCGTGGTGGAGGGACGGGGAAAAGGCGAAGAAAGGTTATAGGAGGGGTACGCATCAGAAGAAATGGACAAATAAAGAGAATGGACTGTTCACCATCGGTGTGCACGGGTGCTGAAATTCCATACAGTCAATACTAAATGATCCAGTCGTTGAAATCTCAAAGTAGTTCAGGAGGTTAGCGGTCTAACACTAGAACAGTTGCTTCCAGAGGTCCAGAATGAACGGTTCGTGGTATATATTTACAACCAGATTAGTCCCCCGTCAACCGCCGGGACCTTCCTTTCCTGCGCAAGCTTTCTATCCTCCGCTATGGTCCCTTCCTCCTGTGACACCAACACCTCCTGGAAGTGACGCGTATGCAACACAATGGTGTTTCATACAGTAGAAGGGACACAATCATGATATGACGGTAGATTTTCGCTTCCCTTCCTCATCCTCCCTTCCTCTCTCCACTGCCCTCCAGCTGCCACTGCAGCACCATGTGGAATGAACGGAAGTGTGCTAAGCAGGTGTTTATATAGCCCTAAGAGTGTTATCACAACTATCCTGCTACAAAACATTGATATCTCAAATCCTGTAAGCTACCCGATTTGTTAGCGGTTTGTTTATCCCATGAGCTTCCTTCTCACTCACTTCATTTTGCGGACGGACACACATACATACACACACACACACATACAGATACACAAACCGACACACAAAGTTAGCGCTTTATAAAATAGAAGGATAATAGGAAAGAGAAGTTAGACCGCTGTATTCGAAAAGGTTTATTGTTGAGTATTCTTTCGGTTTTTCAGCATCGCACAGATTAATGTACCCCATTTTGACGATGTTTCTATTAAAATTTGCCCATTTGTCACCGACTTGATAAACTCGTGATGTCAGGTCGGAATTTTGTAGCAATCTCCTATCATGAAAGAAGAAAAACTCGAAAATCGAAGGCCACTGAGAAATATGCCCCTAAAGTGGTGTTTTTGTCACTCAAGGATCGGAGTGTTGAGGAGTCTATGCTATCGGCTGAACGAAACAAGGAGGATGTCTTAGAGCTCTTACTCACTTCGGAACAAGCCATACATGAATCATGGCTCAATAGACACATAAAAGAAGTTGATCGAGATTGTTCAGTAAAAACCTCGTAAGCTTCGATTTCATGGTATGGTTGTTTCGCGATCGTTTTTCTATTCCAAATAAAGCCAGACAGGCTTTTCAGGTGGGAGGCTTTCTATAGTTATCGCACTCAGCTAAAACCATTTACGGTTGATGGAAGACACAGTCCAGATGAGAACAAAACGGCACTGCTTGTAGTGAACTAGAAACGGTCAGACGGAAAATGTTCAACATTTCACACATTTCATAATGGTCCACATGCACATTTTTAACTACATCGGGCTTTGTAGAGGCCCAGTGAGTGTAACAGCACGAAAAAAAAAACTCGAAAACCCGCTGGACCAATGAGAAGGCAGAGCACAGCTTTTTTGAAACAAGTGTTGAAGTGTCCAGTGATTATTGAGGATAACTTCTTCGAAACATCGACACTTCTTTTCGGCTGACTTTAGCAGGTTATTAATGATTGCAGACATCGGAAATTCTACCCCAATCGATACGCTACTGTCATTGTTGACAACATAAAATGTCTGAATTTTCTCAATCATAGACGTAAATCACTTGGAACGGGTAGCACTACGAGACGCCACGCGGGAAGCTCGATCTGTTTTATTGTTTTTAAGTATATTTCTCGTCTCAGATCTCGCTAACGCGCGTAGGAGTCTCTCTTTCTGCGGGTCCTGCAGTTCTTTAGCCCGCTTCATTCCAACGCCTCTTCAAGCCTCTGAATACAAGCCGAGAACATCACTAATTTGAGTCACTGTAGAGGCTAGTAGTAGGTAGAGATATTTGACTAAAAAAAACCACCTCTTTCAACATGCCTTACATATTATTCCCACCTCCACTCCGTCCTCTCGCCATCCCTTTCTACCCTTCTTAAAGCTGACGCGCTGATTTATGGATGGTACAATCACATCAGGGAAATTCCGGTCACGGTAAAAAGTTTGCATGAAAATAGAAAAAATCGTGGAAGTTTTTGAAAATCCCAACAACTCACCCCAGAAAGGCGCTAGACTCCTCCCAATAACTATTCTTTTCTTCAAAAATACGCTACAACTCCAGACATAAGACTTTCTTTTCCAGAAAGGCAACAAACTTCCTAATCGAGAAATTCTCGACGCTTGCTCACTCTGCCCTTTGGCACATCATTACAGTACATTGATCTTTCTGCATCTTTTTCCTGCGCGTTGTTTTTGTTAGCAATATCGAGGAAACAGTGTCCTCGAGTATTCGATCCAACGACGCTATGTCGGATAAACCGGGAATACTATAGCAGCCTGACCTTGCTTCTCAAGAAGTGTCACCCATTACCATGGGCGCGACCGCTAACTTGCTTTGACAGGAAATCGGGCACATTACATTTCAATAACTGTGGTCTTTCTCGGAAAGAACCTTGAACAGAGGTTTAATTTCATGCAATTTACGACGCGCGAAAGTGAAGCGGCGAAGCTCACAATGTTCATGAACGATTCCGCTTAATGGCGTGACCTATGCCACTTATGCGGAACTCGCTTGTGCGCCAAAAACGCCATAACAGGCTCTCGAACTTCACGTGACAGCTTTTATGAAAGGCTGCCAAAAGATAGCGTTTTGCTGCACAAAACAAATCACAGAGGCACAAAACAAATCTCATACAAGGGCTTTAACTACGTACGAAATCGGGTCAAATGGTACCGATACCCCGCATATCACTTGACCAATCGCTATGGGTAATTCTTGCACTGTATCGAAATTCGGCGCGGCTAAATTACTGCAGTCACTTGGTTCCTTCAAAACTTAGAATGGAAATTCGATGAGTGGAGCGTCCAAACGCCATGTCACGATTCTCATTTTATTGGAAAAAACTGGTGATATTCGCCGCATTTGATCAACATATTCACTAACATCCTGAAAAGGTCAATCTAGAATTAATAAGTACAAAAAATAGGAACAAGCTAGTAGGGTGGGCTAGTGCCGCCATTTCGAATATCGGCTATCCTTTTCCTAAAGGGTAACCCATCGCCAGCTTTACTCTCAGCTCTACACTCCAATTCTCTCCATAAAGGTGATCTCTCCTTCTTGCCAACACCTAGCTTATTCTTTCATGCACTCTATGCTTGGAAAATGTGAGTAGGAATGAACACATGAGGTCGGCTCTCTTGGGGCACGCTGGTCATCTATCTCCATTTGAAATAATAAAAGCATGTACATGGCGAGACTTGACGGTGCTCATCTTTTCAAGTTGCACCTCCCACCTCCTCTTTCCTTTTACGCGAGTAGAAACTGCCACAGTGGTGCGTGCGTGCCTCATGAGCTCTCCGTCTGCTACATGCTGCTCATCGTCAGAGCGGAAGTTCGCAGGAGTTCCAGCATTTCCTGACCCTGGGCCGTATGCTGCCGTCCCTCCCCCCCCCCGCTGCGACCTAATTAGTTTTAAAAGTAAGTGGCCAATCACGGGAACGGCAGACCAATCGCGGAGCTGGCGTAAATGTAGCACGAGCTGCGAAACTCCTATGTTTAAACTTGGGGCGCTCCCTATGAGCTTAGTACTGCTCGTCTCCCAAAGCTACATGAAAAGATCAGCTTACCATTAGGGTCAATCGTATCATTGCCTTCGAATAGTCAAAGTAACGTCCTTATCATTTTTGGGAAAGGGGTCGTCTTTAGGTTGACCCTGGTCATGATTCATTTTTATGAGGTTGAGTGAGGTTAGCTCCTTATCGGAAGGTACAGGGAGGGGGTTGTGCTTGAGGAGTTCAACGAAATCGTTGCTGTATGAGAGAGAGTCGTTTTGATCGCTTTTTTTTTACCAATTTTGAGGGGCACTTTACGAAAGGTGTTGGAAACCTAGTGCTCCAGTGAATATTTTCAACCCATCCCCGCGTCTCGTAAAATTTTTGAAAAAGTTTCAACGCGACGAGTGACCTGCTAATGATACCACGAGGATGCTGCATTCAGAGCAGAACGTAGTATAGCGAAAGAGTTTGAACGTTTTTGATTGAACTTGGTTCCATGAAAAGTGCGCTTCGCCATTATGACGTGAGTTCTTGGGAGCGAAAGACGAGCTTTTCACAGTGTAGAGTTCACAGCGCTTCTTGTGGTGGAGCTAATTCGGAAAAATACCAAAATATAAAAAAATGTGCAGGGTCAACCAGCCGAGGCCAGGCTCTCCTCCTTTCTGCGGAGATCGCCTACCTACCGCCGGGACTGCTTTATCAGAGGATAGAGAAAAACACCCTCCTGATGTAATATCTTGGACTACTGAATGCACAACGTAGCCCTTTTATTTTTCGGATATTGACCATTAACCATCTAAAAATCGT